CACTCTTTCTGTTATCTCCTTTAAACAGGTAAAAATTGTACAGAAATAGTTGGACAGTGCCAGCCACATGCATGTTTCAACGGTAACTGCAGCAATGTTACTCCAAACACTTTTCTTTGTGAATGTGACAAAGGCTTTACAGGTAAGAAACACCTTTATTTCCTAGGTTGCACAAGTAAGTGTGAACTTCTGTTTTACTGAAATAGTTATTTTAAATGATTGTTGCACAGTTTCTAGGTTTGTTAGATTTCTTGAATTTGGCTTGCTTGAAGTCCTTTATTCTAAAGGATTCATGTGGACTAACAAAACTGTAGAAATTATAGAGGCTTTTCATACTTGGATCTCGTCTGTGAGGATCTGCCTTCTGTCAGTGATATGACAATGGAAGACTTGTAATCTCCAACTCACTGGTTCTCAAATACAGAGTTTCCAAGAATAGTGTCAGAAGTGATTACTGGATGGTTTAGGATTATTATGCTATCTATATTCATAGTTTTTGTATTCTCTTAATAGATATGCTAGAGAAATAAGGTAGAAACAATTTCAAGAGTCTATAATCTCATGATTTAGTGGAGTGCCTCTTGATTTAAAAAAAAAAAAAAAAAACCTCTCAGAAGCTAATCAGTTTACTACAATTAATTTGACAGATAAGATGCTTGTGTGAGAAAAGCATAATCAGGGTCGGGGAGAGAACACCTTTCCAGATACAGAGAACCTGAACCCACAGTGACATGAAAATAGTTCAATACACTCAATTCTGGTGAGGGAGGTATGGCAGCAATCATTGTAGTGTAGTCTCCAGGCATCTGGAAAGAACATCAATTTACATTGAGGAAAGGAGACTGTGAGTGAGAATTAGCTCCCTGTTTCTTTTCTAGCTACCTACAAGGAAATGGAGAGTCCTTTCTTGTCTCTGAGAATAATACCACAGGAGGAAGAGGTAGACTCTCAGGAATTTACCTCTTTTTCCTGCTCTGATAAAATTTACCTCAGCTCCCACTGTAACAGGGAAGTATGTCAGAGTTCCTTGCATCAGGGTTGATTGGCTAACACACAGTATGGTTTTGCAATTATTTTCTGACTGAATGTGGTTATTTTGAGTCTACATTTCTTCCTGTGATCCTGTGTAAAACTGTCTGCCAGTATTAAGGTGATTTCAATAATAATAAAAAAACCCTTGTTTATGAAAACTGACATTTTTCAGTTGTTATTCCACTGTAGCTGCATTATATTCTCAGTCAAGATGAGTTCTATAATTCTTAATCTTGCATCTAGAATGCTATTTTAATTGTGTGAAGCTGGCAGCAAATTCGAAGCATTCCTTTCTTTTGATGATCCATTTGGTGCCAGGATTGCGCAAATGATATTTAAGCTTTTATAAACTTTGGCATACTTTTTCCTAAAATGAGGTAAGAGACTGGCAGTATCCAGTTTACAAGATTTGAATGAAAATATGAAATATTCTCGTCACTGTAAATTGTTGAGACATAAATAAAAATATAATAATATTATATATTATTTACAAGTATTCATTCTTTTTTTTATTAGAATAGGTAAAGGTTACTTCGTTCAGGTTATTGTATTCACTATAACAGAATGCCCTGTTGGACTGACAGTTGTATACATTCATATCAGTTATGTTTTTTTAGTCTGTATTAGTTGCTTAGTTCATTAACTGATCTCTCACGCCTTTCTTCACTGCTTCCTATAAGAAAATCTTTATTATATCTTAACAACAAACAGCGAACATTAGACAAGCCGTTATTTTTATGACTGAATACTCCTATTCATGTGAGAATTTGTGCCCGTCTCCAAAAGAGGACAAAAGAACAATCCAGGGAACTGCAGGCCTACCAGCTTTACTTCAGTCCCTGAGAAAATCATGGAGTAAGTTCTTTTGGAACACATTTCTGGCACATTAAGGAGAAGAAAGTGATTTGGAACACTCAGCATGAATTTACCAAGGGTAAATAATGTCTGAACAACCTGACTAACTTCTATGATAAAATGCAGTGGATATCATTTACTTTAACTTCAGCAAGGCTTTTGACACAGTGCCCCACAATATTCTTGTATGCAAGTTAGGACATTACAGGTAAGATGGATGGACAACTAGATGGGTAAAGAACTGGTTAGATGATTGGGCTCAGAGGATAGTGGTTCTTGGGTCATGCTCTACCTGGAGGCCAGTAACAAACAGATTACTGCAGGGGTCTGTCCTGGGACCTATCCTGTGTAACGTCTTTTGAATTACTTGGAAGAAGTGATGGAATGCTTGTCCGTAAAGCTTGCAGATGTCAGCAAACTGGGGAGGAACAGTCAATATACTTGAGTGCAGAGCTTCCACCTAGAAAGACCTGCACAGGCTAGAGATAGGGGCCGACAGAAACATTATGAAATTCAGCAAAGACGAGAAGCCCTGTACTGGGGAAGGAAGAACCCCTGTCAACAGTATAGGTTGGTGAGTGACTGGCAGCTCTGCTGAGCATGCTTAGCGGTCCTAGTGGGCAGTGAGCTGAACATGTGCCAGTCGTGTGCCCTGGCAGCAAACCAAGTCTATCATGACCAGCTTTAACAAGAGCATGGCCAGTAGAGTGGGATCATCCCCCTTTACTGAGCACTCAGTGGACCACATCTAGAATACCGTGCCCAGTTTTGGTTTTCCTCAGTATCCTTGTTTTCTTTCACCTCTGTCATAAACTAGTCTTCTATAGAAATTTTATTCTCCTGCACTTTCACCATGATCCACAGATAATACTTATCCTTATTTTCTGTGTAACCGAGTGAGGCAACTTAATGACAGGTGAAACTGATCTGATGATTAAGAGACTCAGCTCTTCTCCAGACTACATTCCTGATCCATGCCAGAGACCACAACATCTGTCAATCACATATGATCCAGACATGAAAATAAAAATGGGAAGCCTGTCTCCCTGTTTCCTGATCTAACTACTATACGCACTTCTTTAGTATTTGTTTTAACTCAGACAGTTAAACAGGGAGTTCACAACAACTCTTTCATATTGTGTTTAATTTGGGTACCTTAATCAGGACCCTAAGTTTTCAAGGGGTCATGGTATTTCCAGAGAGTGATCTGAGGAGCTGAGTCCACTTCAGCTACTAGGGAGCCTTTGGGTTCAAGAGTTAAGTTAAATCCTTTAAGTCAGATGGTGAGAATAAATGACAGTGCTTTTCATATTTCATTGAGGCTAAAGCAGTCCAGGCAATAATCACTTGACTGGTAGATAATTCTAATGCAAATAGCTATATCTGACTATACAAGCACGATATAGATTAATCTACTTTACCTAATAATAAAGATATGTACATAATAAAAACCTATTGGAGTTACACCAAATGACATGAATTAGTTTATCTGATCTAGTAGATTTTAGCTTTCTTAAAAGTACTTTCCTGGGATGATTTTATTGCACACTTCAGTAATCTATTTTTTAAAACTTCCTGTGAGTTTTGATAACCTTCTTACATCAGACAATGCTCTTTACTTTTATTATTAGGAAACCATCATTGATTAATAAATCAATTTCAGTAGAATGAGTATATCTCTGATAATAGTGTCTGATAGACAAATATAATTATTCTGGGATAACACCGGACATGTATGGTTCGTGTATTTAATCTCGATTACTGAACAGAATAGCTTCAATTGCTGAGTAGCTTAGTGATCCTTTGGTCTCTGTAAAGGAGTTAGCTAACTTGCACTCAAGTTTCATTATTATGAAAGTTATGTTAGGACAAATTCCAGTAACCTTTCCCAAGCTTGAATGTAAATCAAGACCTTGGACAGTAAATTGTACATTTCACTGACATACTAATTCAATATGCCAACTGGTAAGCCTTTAACAAAATGAATTGTAATAAATTATTTAAAAAAATGGAGAAGATTACAGATCATGAGATGAATAACAATACTTGATTCTACAGTAGGAATGGAAATTGCCCAATTATAAGAGAAGTAAGACTGTCAGTTCTAAAATAACTCTGAAATAGATGGCAATGTGCAAACATTTGTGAGTGCCGTAAGATTTTGAGTATACTGCTATAATACCCTTCAGGGATGTATGCTTGAGCTGTGATAAGTGAATAGTTTAGCTGATGAAATCCAAAGCAGAATACCAAAAGATGGCTTAATTCAGAAAATGTTTTTTGCTGATCTTTTCTCTTCAGTTATGCAAAAGCATGCTGTTTGCCAATATTGGCACCAACCTCAACTTAAAAATATGGATGAAAAAAGTTCGTGTATATGAAGTGATTTAATAACAGTTTTATTTTGAAGTAAAAACGTAGGAAAATTATTTTTAAATTGTTGTCTCAAAATTCATTAAAAGCCAAGATCCAGATGTACTTGGACCATATGTTAACATCCATAGAACGCATCATCACTTAGCAGTTATTTACTATGAAGACAGATATTTGATCACTTGTGTTGTTCAGAATAACTCTGAGATAGCGTGGTTCAGGAGAAACTAAATCCCTTTTCCTAAAGTGTTTTTTTCAAATGAATAATTTTCTAAAATATTCTGCTTCAGGAAAGGGTTTTTTTTTTTTTCTTTTCCTACATAATTATGGGTGCAACTAGCTTTTGCATGCTACAGAAGGACATCCCTGCCTCTTTTTTCCACGTTTAACTGCTTTCCATCATTTGAAGATAGTTCTGAGAAAATGACCTTTGGATTCAAATAAACAAGTAATCAAAGTAGTAACCCAAAGATGGAAAGTTTTTTTGGCATACTGTTTGCCTACAGAACAGTTGAACATAATGTCCAGTGTGTGAGAATATATTCACAATAAACAGTTTGCCAGCTCATGTGTTGCATCTAACAACATTATGGTTAGGATGAGGTTCAAGAGAAAGCCTAGAACTGCAGTTTTAGTGGTGCTGCAAATGGGCTGTGAAAGGAAGAACCATGCTGCAAAAAGAATTGTCCCGAGAGGTTCTTAATCCAGGAATTCTCACAAGTGCTTGTGCTAGGGCTGAGACCAAGCCTAGGGTTAGGGTTAGGGTTCAGTTTAAGGATAGATTTAGGTTTTGGAGAGAGAGCAGCTCAGAGCCACTGTGAGGCTGCCTTGAGAATATGTTCATGTAAGCAACATTTGCGGTCTAGGGTCACAAGACCACAA